AAGTTACTACATCACAATAACATAAAGTTACTACATCACAATAACATTAAGTTACTACATCACAGTTACATCATCATGACATTAAATAACATCCTTGTGACATCAAATTACATAACATTACAACACCTCCTAACATTAAATTGTCACAGCACCTCCTGACATTACATTAAAAACGTCATCACGTCATTAAATTACATTTTTCAGAGCTTTAAACTGCATCAGTAAGACATTAGATGACATTAAGTTACATTAGGTTACATTAAATTACATCAACCAAACATTAAATTTTATCAATTTTAACATTAAACTCTATCGTCATAGCCACACATTGTTTTTCATGGTGAAATAAAACTACTTTAAAAAATATACCATAACATTTTATCGGTAAAAATTCTTTAAAAATTTTTTATACAATAACGCAAAAGTTATAAATTTTTCACAAAATATTTTTGATGAATAATAAGAAATATAATTGAAACATAATAACATTATAAATAAATTAATTAATAAAATTAAATAAATATAACTCGAAATATTTTCAAGAAATTAATAATAATCAATTAAAGAACTACAAATTAGCATTGATATAGAAAATCGCTGTAAAACTGATAAACAATATTATTACAGTACTATTAAAAATTCAATGAAACTATTTCAACACAACACTACACTAAAACACTATAACATATCCAACCCCAAAACGCTGCATAAAAATATAGCGCTAGATAATTTCATTAATATCTTATTACGTCACTATGACGTCACGTTGCTTGATAGAAGCATTTCAGCGCTTTATTATACAACATATAACTCCATATAATTTATAATAATGGGTTACTTGCATTAACGCTCACCATCATCACCATCCCCACCACCATCATCATCACCATCATCATCATCACCACCATCATCATCATCACCACCATCATCATCATCACCATCGTCATCTTTAACTTTCATTATCATTATAATTATTGTCTACACAATCGTCATCAATAACATTGTCAGCAGAATCATTTTCACCATCATCATGATCGTTAATGACGTAATCATCATAATCAACGAAATCATTTTCATCATCAATTACATCACTATCATCATCATTATAAGCCACAATAACATCATTATTAACATCACCATTACCAAGAACATCATCATCATCGTCGTCGTCGTCATCATTATCATCATCATCGTCAGCGGCATCATCATCATTATCAT